ATATCTCGGAAACGAAGGGCCATAAGCACAAACGGTTTTAGAGTTTTCTTAGTCTCATCAAGATCTACTTATGGCCAAAAGACGGAGTCAAAAGCGAGGAATCAGTTGGGGAAGTTCCCTCGTTAGTATTTTTTTCGTTCCTGACGCTAGCCAGATGATAGGATTTTAACGGGACTACAACTGGTATAGGAAAAGCCACCTGGCCAAAGTCAATAGATTTTGGCTCGCAAACGATTTTCAAGTTGGTGGACTTCCCTCGTGAGTGATAGAGACTGAATTCTAAGCAAAATAACTTGTTTCTGATAAAAAGAGTCGCATGTGTAAATGACACGCTAAATTCTCACTATGCTGGAGAGGGAAGTACTTACAGGGAAAAAAGAGGCATAGGGGCAAAAATGTGGGCCCGGTTCGTAGTTTTCCAACAGGCACTATTAACAAAACAGCTTCCATATGAAAAGTATGAAAAAGATGATTAAATGTCAGAAAAAAAGCGGTGTATAACTCTTGACATTTCACTTATCTAACTATGCAAAGATATCTTCTATCGTATATTTAACTAGTTTTTGGCTCTAATTTTATATGTATTACTAAATTTCTTTTGTCCTTATTTTATGACAGAAAAAAAGATTGTTACAACTTATTCTGCTTTTAACGTGAATTATACAAGAACCTATTAACATAAAACTTAGCAGAACAACCTAAAGATCCCATCATCATGATATCAGAAAACACCACTTTTTGATACCTTATTGGCATTTCATGGCCAATTCATTTTCTTCTAAATGTTTTTTTACTGTTTCAATATTTGCCTTATAAATTTCAATTCGTTCTTGTGTTATTGGCGATACTTTAAGTAAGTATTCAAGAGCTTTTTCATAATTTTCTAATGCGTTTAAATTATCACCGATTTCTGTATAACAATCACCCAAATCCCCAAAGATAACACTTATCGTACTTTGGCTGACAATTTATTTTTAATACCAATCTTCAAAAATTTTTTGAAATTTTTAATAGTTTGCTCAAAATTCAAGTCTTGCATATAAGCTGTACCTAAATTCAAATATGTACGAGCTAATATGAAATTATTTTCGTCTAAAGAAGATAGTTCGATTTAAAGAACTTTTTCTATATATTCAACAGCCATTTTATAATTTTCTAAATTGTAATAACCAGTTGCAATATTATTACATGTTGTTGTTACTTTTTCAACATCGATTTCTAAGCGATCCAACCTTATTTTAATACCTAATTCGAAATTTTCTATGGCTTTTAAAAAATTTTCTGTGATAATGTGATAAATTTTCCAATTAAATCGTATACGTTTGCTGGATCAGAATAATTAATATGTTCACTATCTGTTAGAAGAGCACGTGCTGATTCGTAAGTTTTTATCGACATTTCAAAATCATTTAATTCATAATACATTTTTCCAGTTTTCCAATATGTTTCTATTAAACTACGACTATCAATTGGAAAGCAAGATAATTGAATTTTTAGTATCTTTTGTTGAATATCTAAAGCTTTTTGATAATTTTCATCATTTATATTTTTGCCTGCCTGTAAAGTTGAAACAATACTTTTGTATACAATAACAATCTCATTATCGTTCCACGGAAGCAATTGTGATTTAATATATAAACTTTTTTCGAAATATTTTAAAGCTGATTGATGATCATTACGGAAATAATGAATAGCACCGATGCTGTTATAGATCAACGCTGTATCAAGAAGATTTTCTGGTAATAGATTTAATGCTTTTTCATAATGAACTTGTTTCAAATAAATTTTTCCCATTGTACGATAAATTTTGCTAGTCCGAGTTGGCAACTGATCATTACCAACAGAAATAGAACTAAAATCTAATGCCATATCATAATTTTCTATGGATTGATAAACGTCTGCCAAGCATCTCTATAGTGTTGTTAGATCTGGACGGGTTGTTATGTACTAGCTGCAATAGCTTCCTTAAAAAATTGTAAAGTTTCTGAAAACTGTCTTAATTTATCGTGCATTCCACCAATGTTATAATATGATATATTGCACATTTGTAGATAGGTTTCTCGGCGACGAGTCGAATGGTATATAATAAGTTATGTATAGGTCTACTTTCCCTAGATTCACTCATTTTAATCTCACCTTACCTTTAGGTAGAAAAACAGTAGTTAGCAAGAGCGGTTTATCCTTCTTATCAGTAAAGACGGTAGTAAATAAATCTTTCCTTTATATAGAAATGTAGTACTATCTCTTGGCTACTTTTTGAACCTTTTAGATAAAGTTTTAGTCTAGAACTGGTTGATGGGTAATCCATTTAATCTCGAACTATAAAAGACGTCATTCTGTGTGTAGAGCCATAATGACGTATAATTGTTTAGTAACTGCGGATTCATAATAAATTCATTTTATATTCTGAAAGAAAGAGTAAACTATTTGCTACAATTTTATCTCAGAAACCAAGTTTAACAAAGCTTTTTCTGAATTAGATTATATTGTTGCTAGGTGTCGTTGCATAGGTTTTCGTGGTTTTCACAGATTCAAACGTGCTTTTATCAAGGTTTTCTAAAGATCCGGTCTCTAATGAACCCGACTAAATGTGCTTATGAACGTTGTGAATCATACTATTGAAAAGAATACACACGAAACCTATAAAAATAGTATTTAGAGGCTTTCGTATCACTTTTATGGCACATGTCCACGTGCCTAGTCAAAACTGCCTACTGTGCGGTGCACCCACGTCTTGCAGAAAGTGAAAATCTGCACAAGTTCTTTAAAGATTCTACTTCTTGAAAATTCTTGATCAAGATCTTGATAAATCAAAAAGTTTTTTTTTGTTTTTCATAACCCCAGTTTTGATAGTGGAATCCGAACATGAAATAGAAAGTATATGTCAATTTTTCACTCGTGATTTGATTTCTTGATGGACTGGCGAATCGTCTCTGAAGGATTAATTCAATGGAGTACTGTGGAGTGCTTATGCGCATCTCCTGAAGTTTCTCAGTATGTGAGGGTTAGGGTGAGGGGTGTGTCAAAGCGCGCTTGTGAAGATACTGTAATAATAAGAGACTTTTTATTTTCTCTTTCGTTTTGTGTCTACGAACGTATTTCTTTCGTTCAATCTCTTATTCCATCAATAATCAAGACTTTGAAAAACTAGTTTATAAAACAATGATGAAAAACATCAGCTTAGGTGTATATTTTCAATTTTTTTTCACTTATGATCTTATCAACATACTGAAACATCTGCTGTTAAAACGGACTCATACACTTGATCGTAACGCATATTGTACATATTGAACATCTTGCTTTTTTTGCATGATGAGATTCTAAAACAGGTGACTCATTCTACCGTCTCTATTAAGGATATCTTGCCTTCCTCTTAGTATAGATGGAGACCAGAAACACTTAGAGCCAACGGAGATGCTAGTAGAGCTTGGAATACTCTATTCTACAGGCAAAAATGGAGTACTAAAAAGACAAACTTTGTTATGGTTACAATAGCAAAAAGAAATATGTAAAATTTCTGTTGTTATTCGGCGTGGTCAGTTAAGTCTGCTACCGTAACAGAACGCTTTTCATCATTTTGTTTTGCCTACAATTCCTAAACTGACTACGGCAGAGTGTCGCGAGGCATCTTAGATTGAAGAGAAAAGTCTGGCTAACATTTTAAAAGACGTTTGTTAACTGTACAACATGTATTGTTAAGAAGCTGTAGCCTAAACAATGGACACTATTTTTGCAAAAATTAAATGCAAAAAAATTGATGTCCATTGTTTAGGCTACAGCTTCTTAACAATACATATTTCTTTTTGCTATTGTAACCATAACA